ACAAAAATGCCATCCTGGCTCCTGTTTCCACCGCATCAGCCACTTCCCTCGTCTTCTCTGTTACGTTGTTAAAGCGTGCCAGCATATTTGCAGCATATTGCCCGTTGGTCTGATGAGGCTGTTTCCTTTCCCGGAATATCTGCAAGATGTCCTCCTCGGGCGCCCATCGACCCCCTCCAAACGCCTTCTTCAGCCGATCCTTCACAATATTCCATGGAGTGTCTTCATCCGCCTGAATCATATTCAGCACGCTCCTCTTAACCCAGCATACCAAGGCTGCCCTTAATGCATTGGCATCCATCGGGTCTATCAGGTTTTCCTCCTGCTTAGCCAATATACGCGATATCACCCGATCGCCACCTTTTAGAAAGTGATTCAACTCACCCACTCCTCCATCGAATCTTTCCAAGTCGGATATCGCTCTCCTAAGGTCCTGCGACGTCGCCGTTCTCACCTTCAACCACTCTAACGTAGTTGCATGTGCTGATGCCAACGTTTCCGTAGGTAGTGGAGGAAAATCCCTCGCTAACGCCTCTGACAGCGGAGGGAACGCCGGCGGTGGAGCCAACGGTGCTGCTGGTGGTGCCGTCGGCGGTGTCGCCTGTGCTACCTGCTGTGCTATCTGTTGTGCGGTGGATACTGGTGGTTGCCCTATTCCGTTCGGCATCCTTCCTCTTTTTTTTATTTCTTGTGACGTTAATAACAACAACAAAAACGAAAAGAAAGAGAAAAAAAACTACTTCCCCGACTGATTCTAAAGGTCCCGGGTTTCGACACCACTTACGTCAGTTCGAACAAGAATCGATAAAAAAAAGGGAAAAAAGGATCCGAAATGAAGCACGTGGTTACTCAAATAAGACTGACTTTATTGTCTTATTAATGCCATATATATAGTATTACACTTTGTTTACACTTCATAGATAGGATTAACTTAGGATTAATTGTTATATTGTCTTACCTCTAACCATAACTTATATATATATATATATATATATATATATATATATATATATATATATATATATATATATATATATATAGAGAGAGAGAGAGAGAGAGAGAGAGAGAGAGAGAGAGATAGAGAGAGAGAGTGGGGGAGGGAGAAATCCTTAAGAAGAAGCGTATACTGCTTCTTTCTGGCTTGTATACGTGTCTCCAATATGTGAATTAAGCTCGATAAATAGGAAGAAGTGAAGAAAAGGATCTTGCAGGGAAACAGAGCATATACTATATACTGAAGGATATACTATAGGCTGAACAGTATTAATACCAAGTTTAGGATGTAAAAAACATTAATAAAACCGGTGAGAACCTACACCAGCGAAACTTGGGATACTAAGGAACTTTCTGGGACCAATTTGTGAAGATGGAGTTTGGTGTCGTAGAAAAAATAGGAATCCGTATAAAAAAACAAGGATCTGAATATCTCAGCCAGCATCAGAATTCAAAGATTGAAGTAGTTTGTTCATCTAATGAGAATGGACGAAAACAGGATGCCAAAAAGGCTTTAAGACTGTACACCAGACTGAAAAAGAAGTAGAGGACCGCTGGGTAGATAGTGTACTCCAAGACATGCAGCAGTTGAAGATGAAAAAATTCCATGTAATGGACAGAGAGGAGTTGAAGGCGGTGATTGAAGCCAAGGGCTGTTGCGTGGGCCTCCTTAGTTAAGCAAAGAAGAAGAAGAAGAAGAAGAAAAATATGGCGGTTAAGCAATGATAATTCATTATAATATATTTTTTTAATTAGTGTTTGCTCTAACAATAATTTTAAACACTTACAAAATTAAGATTAACGAAACAGATAACGGTAATGTCGTTAAAACAGAGGTGTGGTGTGGATTTTAGAACACATAAAAATGCATTTCATTAATTTTACCAAAATATTACGTTGTCCTATTAAGGAAAACTTATATTTATTATACCGACTTTAAGCATTTTTTACAATTTGTTTTATAACTAAAATACTTACTAATTAACTATTACAATACATCTCAGAACAAAGAAAAAAAAATAATGAGAGAGTTAGTCTATTTTAATTATTGTTACTTAAAACACCGCTACTTCAAAAAGAATTTCTCATTCGCGGTTTGTATAAAGCTGTAACACGCGTCTACTTGATTAACGTGGACTCATAGGTTATTAAATAAGCTGGTTTTTCTAAAATTTGGTTATTTGGAGTCAAGTTGTAAGCTAATTAAAATAAAAAATATTGAGATCTCCATTTGTTTTAGTTAAAAAACAAAAACAAATAGGTTAAAAAACGTAATACAGCGTTTAAATGGTGGGAAAAAATTCAAATTATGTTTCTTTCATAGATTTCGTTTGATAAAGTAATTGGATATTACCTGACGTAAATACTTTTTTATTTGTGAATTTCAATTTTTAAAAAACTGGCGTCAACTGGAAATGTTTTTACTCATACACTGCCTGGGTATAAAAATACTCAACAGACATATCTACATGTTAACCGCCAGATTTATCCACTAAAGGAGAATATCCTGAATGTACATTATCCATACTTATCATGTATTTTCCCACTGCCTGTAATAAACATGGGCCAGATGCGTAGAGATGATTTTAATCTTTTTTGGGGGTTTTCACCTATAGCTCCTCAACGGTGAATCGAAGAGAAAATCGTACTCTCATATAACGTTATACTATACGTCGAATGAATGCGAAACTTAATATTTATAATATACTCAAATAAATAAAATAAACAATTTGGCTAGAAGCCCACAGCCTACGAACGAAGACTTTTAACCAAATTGTTCACATACTAAAACATACTTTCACTTGAGTAGCAGCATTTGTAATGCAGGAGGTCATTTAAACTTCTCGAATTGGGATTCGCCACTTCTACATGAAATTCAGTTTCTTTTGTATCACGTTTCTCAAAATTCATCGCTGCAGGGAGTTTGAAAAGAGATTTATGCTGCGTATAGTTCCATATTCCAAACAAGATTAACTCAGGAGGGAAGGCTACATACAGTCAGTGGGTCACTGATTTGGAGCTAATTTGTTTCGGTGAGACTACATCGAAATATATTGGACAATTATCCCCTTGTACGTTTCAATATGCCCTATGAGCAAAGAAAAGAAAATTATATTATTTCAAACATATATCCTACCTCTTATAGAATCCCATCTTCCTTCCCATCAGTTTGGTTTTCGCTCCCAATATTCGCCCTTTGTTCAACAAGGACTCCGAGTTGTTGATCATATTTCCTCAGCCCTGGAAAACAAGGAATACTGTTCGGGTGCATTTCTGGACATAGCACAGGCGTTTTACCCGGTACGGCACCCCGGATTGCTCTTCAAGCTTAAAAAACATTTACCTCAGTCCTTGTACCTAGTCCAATATTTTCCAATTTATTCAGTCAAAACCCCAAGGCAGCGTTTTGGATCCCGTAATTTACATTCTCTTTACCGCTGACATTTCTATTTATCTCGATACCTTCCTTGCAACTTTTGCTGATAACACCGCAATCTTATCATCCGACTCTGATCCCGAAATAGCATTCAGCAAAGGCATCTCTCCTTGATTGAGCACTGGTGTAATAACTGGCGGATTAAAGTGAATGAATCCAAATGCCAACATATTACCTTAACACTCCGACGCAATGCCTGTCCACCAGTACACTTTTAACTCCATCTAGCTTCCCTTTTCGGACACAGTCCGGTAAATTGGCTTTCTTTTAGACCCAAGACTAACATGGAACCCACATACTTGGCTTAAAAAACAAGAACTTAACCGACGATACGGCCAACAATGCAGGTTACTAAACAGACAATATTATAAACTTTCTATTAAAAACAAATTACTTATCTCCAAGACAATCCAGAAACCTATGTGGACATACTGTATGGGACAGCAAAATTTTCTAACATCGAATGTATTTAATCCTTTCAAACTAAAGTCCTTCGAACAATAGTTGATTCTCCGTTCTATGCAACCAACAAAACAAACCAATGCAATCCTCCTCGAAGGTTGAAGAGGCAATGGCCCAGAGACCTTCTTTGAATAAGTATACATTGTCTAATTTTTTATTTATCTAATGATAAAACTATTCAAGCCCTAAATAGGTACCAATATCTGGGTGCCCAGCCACCGGGAAAATCGGGAATTTCTCAACCCGGTAAAAAAACAGGGAACTTTAATATTTTATTTATTTTTGTTGTAATAGTGTGATAATAGTTTTATCATTAGATAAATAAAAAATTAGACAATGTATACTTATTCAAAGAAGGTCTCTGGGCCATTGCCTCTTCAACCTTCGAGGAGGATTGCATTGGTTTGTTTTGTTGGTTGCATAGAACGGAGAATCAACTATTGTTCGAAGGACTTTAGTTTGAAAGGATTAAATACATTCGATGTTAGAAAATTTTGCTGTCCCATACAGTATGTCCACATAGGTTTCTGGATTGTCTTGGAGATAAGTAATTTGTTTTTAACAATCTTGTATTTACATACGTAATAAAGAATATTGTCGTATTCATATTATCTTAAGAATAAATATTTTTATTAATTATTAAACAGGCTTTGAACAGTCACATTGTGGCGGTATTTTTCCTTTGAAGTCGTTGATGTTATATGGTTTTTCTTTACTGAAAATACCATCTATCTTTACGGGGGCCCGGTCGTTGAATCAGCTATAGGATGCACTTCTCAAACTCCAACTAAATTGAAATATATATATATTTAAATATTTTTTTAATAAATCGATATAACCTGTTTTGAATCCAAACGCCTCATGTGAAACATGGTTATTTATGTAGAAAAAACTTGAAAAATCTAAAAAAACAAAAAAAAATGGTAAAAATATGAAAAAAAAGGTAAACTTCTAAAAAAACAGGGAAAATCTAAAACAGGGTAATGTAATTTTTCCTAGGTAATTTTTTAGAGAAGAATTGCTGGACACCCTGAACATATGTATTCTGTTTTTATAGATTAATGAAAATAAATATATATTTTGTTTATCTTTGTATTTTACTTTTTTTAAGGGGATGGAACGGAGGGAATGTTAAGAAATATTTTGGCTGTATACCAGTAAGGATGAAGAGCTTCACTTCCCTCTTGCTGTGGGCCGCCATCGCCTTCGCTGCCTGGCAAGACAACCACAGGCCTAAGATGTTTGTCCAGCTAGGTAAGTTCTTAATATATATATATAAAGTATAAATAATGTACCGAACCGAAGTACCCAATTATCTTTCTTATATAACTAATTCACACCACTGATATGATATGTGTGTATGAGTATATGCCATTGGAAAATCATGATGAGCTCGAAGTGTTCTAACGACAAACCATAGGAGATTTGAGAAAGTTGTATTTTTTTTTTTCTTAACCAACATTTCAAATTGTAAGGAACCGGTGGAATATCGTAGATTTATGTTATTAGAATAATCTCCTCTGAAATGTGTAACATACATAACAGGTGTTTTGGGTTTGTATTTATTTAAGTTGTATTTTAAAAGAATTTAATAATAATGTTAACAAAAGGTTTTAATTGTTCATTATGTTTATTTTTTATGTGTTTTTTTAATGATAATTACAAATTCTGCTGTAGTGTTGATAATAGTAGGTAATTGATGTATTATTTTAGTTAACTGATTTTCATCCGAATGTTTGTTGCGATTTAGTCATAACGAACTATCAATGTTTGTAAATACATATAAATAAAACACTATATACAAATATAAATACAAAAAGAAATATAATATGTGATGATTATTAAATTGGGATTGATTTAATTTGTACGGGGTTCTTCCCTATAAACAAATAATGATTAAATAGATAACTTAAACAGTTTTCTTATATATAACGTTTCTATCTCAGAGAAAAAAATAGGAATAAAGAAACACTAAGAAAAAATAATTAAATAAAAAACCAAAACAATTCCTACAAATAAATTAACAATTTTATTAATGTATGATTTCATAAGAGAGTGATATTTTTAGGTTGCACAGAAATTTTAATTAAAAGTAAACAATAACTTCGTTGAATGTAATTGATAATAATTTTACTTAATCCTTGAATTACTTAATACTTCAAAATAATCCGAACGTTATCTACATCCCACAATTGGCCATCGGAAATTAGTACGGAAAATTCAAATCACGATCTTAGATAAAATTTTCAGCGAACAATGAAGCTATAAAAAAATAAAAAGTCAAATTTAAGTATAAAAAGAACTTTTTAAGGAGTAAACTAATACAATTTTTTTTAAATTGCGAATGCATACATTCGTTTATGCATTTATAAGAAAATTAAAAATACTTATCACACATAACTATTAATTAAATTTGTGGCCTAATACATTTTAAATAAAAACACAAAAAAATTGGTTCCAAACCTAAAAAATATGACAAGAAAACTATTAATTGAATTTAATATAAGAGCAGCTTTATCATCTCAATATATGACATTGCTCATAATTTAGGCAAGTTTACATTTTATAAATGTACATTACATTTTAATGGAAAAAAGAATTATTCCTGACTAATCTAAAAAATTGAGATTTATTTACTTTAAATGGACAATAAAATTATATTTAAATGAAAAAAGAATATGACACGTCGACTGATAGGAGAAGTAAAAAATAGAAAAATGAGATAAAAGTGTCGATTAGGACATACAATTTACTGGAACTAATACAAAAAGATTTTTTAATTGAAAATCAGGCAATATCCGGTAGGATGGAAATATCTCAACCATAATGCATAATCGTGTAATGCCATTTTTAAAATATATTTTCAATTGTTTCAATTGGGCTGATGGTTGACTGTAGTGAATAATGAAGAGAAGGATGGTTGGGTGATCAGTCAAAATAAAAATGGCAAAAATAAATAATAATATTTATTTTAACATTTGCCGACGTTTCGACCCGAAGTTCAGGCCTTCATCAAGGCTGATTGAAGAGATCATTTGAATAGAATGAACTATTCATAATTTAAATTACTTTATTTAAATTCATTTTAAAAAGTATATATTTTTAATCGATTCATCCCTAAAATTTACTTTAATGTACAATCAATCAGTCTCTTTGTTCTAACATTTACACACTTTCCGTAGCTTTCATTTAAGCAGAAAACTTGAAAAGACGTATTAGAAGAATAAACACAAGGAGTCATTTTTTTTATTTGATTTGTATTGCTCAATTCTTAGTGGAAAAAATCGAGGCTCGTTTTTCGGGTTCACATCTCTTATTAAAAAAAAAAAAAAAAAAAAAAAAAAACTTCACCAGCAGCAAACATCATGAAAAATTGCATTTCCTTTTTTGGTCCCCGAATTTATTTATTTACATTCCACTTAAGCGATTGACATTCTATTTTATTCAATAAATGCTATGTTTTTATATAAATTTTCTGAATAGGAAAGGGCCAGTGAGAGATAATAATATTCATTATGCGAGTGAAATTCATCAAGGAGGGCTATTGTTTGCCCTGGATCCAGTTTTTTGCTCCTTTTGATTAACAAACCTGTACTGAATCTATTTAAACATTCGGGTGTAATATTTATTTGAATCGAAACTTTGTTTTGTTAATGGTTTCCTCTTTTATTTATTTATTTTTTTCGATAGCTTTTTAATTTTATTGTGATTAATGATTTATTTTAGAATAGAATAAAATGTAAAATAATTTTATTCTGAGACAAAGTCTCTTTAGAATAATGGAATAGTACAAAATTAGAATATAACATCTGGCCAAATAAAACCAAAAACAAAAAATAAAAAGAAAGGGAAAAAGTAAAGAAAACTTCAGTTAAACATACTATATACAAAACAAAAAACCTATATACAAAACACTTGAAACTATGCCAAGACACTTAAAACTATGTAAATTGGTAAATCATAAATACACACATAGGAAAAAAAATAAACAAAAAATACATTAAATTCTTCTTTAAAATAAACTCTGATTCTACAAAACAAAAACAAAAAAAAAAAAAAAAGGAAAGAAAGAAAGCCGAACCTGATAGTAAAAATAGTATGAGTATTTAAATTATGAATAATATGTAATTACATCATAAAAACATAGCGGATATCTGACTGTTTTTCGGATATGAATTGGAATAGGAGAGTTTTAAATGTAGATATGGAGGGGGAATGCCGAATTTTGATAGGAAGGAAATTCCGGAAATTAACATTTAATTGATCATTTATAAATAGAGATAAATTTTTATAGTACAGGCCTTAATAAAACCACAGTTTCATTATCATTTTAAATAATAAATATTGAAAAATTACTATTTTTCCCATTTTGGTTGTAATAAATAAAAAATGTATTTACTAATTAATGTTTACATAATACATCCCAGGTAAAGTGAAAATAACTTAAAGCTTTGCAACAATTTATTGCGGTCATTTTTGCAGAAAACATGGATACTTTAAGGTAACAGGATATCAAAACACATTTTTATAAAAATAAAAAAAAAATTGTCTAAAAGTGAGGTGTTTGTAGTATAGTTAGAGGGTTTATAAAAATAGCAAGTAATCCATGATTTTTTACAAACAGAACTTAGCTAAGTGTATCCGCTCAAAGTTCTTCTTTATTCTTTAAATGGTTTAAAAAATTACAAACTCCACTTTCGTTAGAATTAAATTTTGTCTTGTTTAGTGTGAATCGGTTTTTGATTATTTCTACTAAATTATGTTTCAGTTATTGCTTCCTATTCATCAAAAACCATGACTTACTTCAAAAATAAAACTTAAATTTCCTACTATTCTTCCGAAAATAGGACCATTGTTTATATGAACTTTTTTTATAGCTCTTGAGGGCCAATATTACATGTTTAAATATTTCTCTCTACTCCCCCCCCCCCTTACACAGTCCGTATCAACATATTCTAGGATTTTATGATTCAATTAGCCCTTAATTTTAACTTGATATTCTCATTTTCCTCTGCGGACTAGTCGGACTGTGAAAAACGTATTTTTATTTGAGACATTTGAGAAACATTTTTTACTTTTTACATCATTCATTTTTAGCTGAGAAAGTTCTAGAAATGTACCAATGTTATTGGGGAGGTTGTTTCTCAACTCCCTCTCCCCCCGTGTTTAATCTGAACAAATACTTTATATATTCAATTTAATTTTTTTTTTAGATATTTTCAAGTATAATTAGAATAAAAAACTAAAAATCAATATAACTAAAGAAACATATAAACAAATAAATTTTAAATATTCGATATTATATTTGTTCGTTTACATTAATTATGTTGAATTCTCACTACCAATCTTCTCAATAACTTCATTTCCCACACTCATCTCTAAATCTCCAGCTTCCGTCATCGGCCTGCTCCTTGGATATGCCAGGAAATTAAGGATCTTCAGAAGAGACGCGACGCTGCCCGCAGACACTTTAACCGGACTAGCCTTGCAGATAATTATCAAACATTCAGAGTGCTTCGTAACACGACACAGACAAGGATCCGACAAGCGAAAGCTACCTACTTTCATGAAGCCCTTTCCTCAGCTCCTAATATCAAATCAAAATGGCTTCTGCTTCCTTAACTTTCCCTCTGTGAACCTTCCAGATCCCCTTCCTTAGTTTTTCCAATATCACCTGATGATTTAAACTCCCATTTTATAAACTGAGGGAAAAAATTCTACCCACTTGATTTTTTCATGTTTTCATCTAAAAATATTTCTGCTTTGGATTGGTCTATTGTTTTTAATGAATAAATAGGTAATCTTTTTGTTTGTTTTCAATTAGGAATGTTAACATAGAGGACAATAACTCTTAATCCTTAATTCAGTGAAATGATTCTAGATTCCAATGTTTACTTTCTATGGAATCAAAATGTTTATTCAGTATCATTAGTTCAGTGCCGTTTCTTGCAGCACATTTCTTAGTCTTCGGCTTTTAATTTTTTCAATATTAAGTTTAAAAATGCCTCTTAGTGCTGAGGATCTTGCGCGTACTGTGGCACTTATTGATGATGGACGTTCCATTAGATATACTGGTTCTTACAATAGAAGGCCCGATTCTCCGATTCTGGACGGCCTAGGGTAACAGAACCACGGGATGACCGGTTTTTGACTTTGCGAATTTTACAAAACCGGCACCTTACCGTTGTTCAAGCGATTCATCAGCTCGAAGAAGTTCGAGGTGTGCAAATTTCTGAACGTACCGCTCGGAGAAG